CCTCAGCCTCAGCCTGCCTCAGCCTCAGCCTCAGCCTGCTTCAGCCTCAGCCTCAGTCTGCCTCAGCCTCGGCCTCAGCCTCAGCCTGCCTCAGCCTCAGCCTGCCTCAGCCTCAGCCTCAGCCTCAGCCTGCCTCAGCCTCAGCCTCAGCCTGCCTCAGCCTCAGCCTCAGCCTGCTTCAGCCTCAGCCTCAGTCTGCCTTCAGCCTCGGCCTCAGCCTCAGCCTGCCTCAGCCTCAGCCTGCATCAGCCTCAGCCTCAGCCTCAGCCTGCCTCAGCATCAGCCTGCCTCAGCCTCAGCCTCAGCCTGCCTCAGCCTCAGCCTCAGCCTGCTTCAGCCTCAGCCTCAGTCTGCCTTCAGCCTCGGCCTCAGCCTCAGCCTGCCTCAGCCTCAGCCTGCCTCAGCCTCAGCCTCAGCCTCAGCCTCAGCCTCAGCCTCAGCCTCAGCCTCAGCCTCAGCCTCAGCCTTCAGCCTGCCTCAGCCTCAGCCTGCCTCAGCCTCAGCCTGCTTCAGCCTCCTCAGCCTCAGTCTGCCTCAGCCTCGGCCTCAGCCTCAGCCTCAGCCTGCATCAGCCTCAGCCTCAGCCTCAGCCTGCCTCAGCATCAGCCTGCCTCAGCCTCAGCCTCAGCCTGCCTCAGCCTCAGCCTCAGCCTGCTTCAGCCTCAGCCTCAGTCTGCCGTCGGCCTCGGCCTCAGCCTCAGCCTGCCTCAGCCTCAGCCTGCATCAGCCTCAGCCTCAGCCTCAGCCTGCCTCAGCATTAGCCTGCCTCAGCCTCAGCCTCAGCATCAGCCTGCCTCAGCCTCAGCCTCAGCCTGATTCAGCCTCAGCCTCAGTCTGCCTGCAGCCTCGGCCTCAGCCTCAGCCTGCCTCAGCCTGAGCCTGCCTCAGCCTCAGTCTCAGCCTCAGCCTCAGCATTCAAAATGTGGCCCGGGAATAAAGTTCGGGAAACTCGAAGAACACGAAGTGACCTACAGTTGGCTCCAGGCATTCAAAATCATGCCCAGGAATGGAATTCTGGGAACTAGAAGACCACGAAGTGGGCTACAATTGGCTCCAGGCATTCAAAATCATGCCCAAGAATGGAATTCTGGGAACTCGAAGGCCACGAAGTGGCCTACAGTTGGCTCCGGGCATTCAAAACCATGCCCAAGAATGGAATTCTGGGAACTCGAAGGCCACGAAGTGGCCTGCAGTTGGCTCCGGGCATTCAAAATCATGCCCAGGAATGGAGTTCTGGGAACTCGAAGAACACGAAGTGGCCTACTGTTGTCTAAAAAAGGAGTCCCCGGATTCCCCCGGGTCCCGTCCGCATCCCGCCCAGCCCCCCTGGGGAGTCATGATGCTCTCTTTTGACACTACTAGAAACCTGTCAGTCTTCGCTGTTAGGTAAAAAGGGGGGGTCACTACTGGTTCGAACCCATCCCCCCTCTCCCCCCCACGCTCACCGCGGGCAAACAACTTCCGGATCCCTACCACCGTCCGCACCACATCCCCCACTGCTGTCCCCAGCACCGCTGTCCTCACCACCACTCTGTCCCCACTGTTCCCACCACCGTTCCCACTGTCCCCACCAGTGCCCCCACCACTGTCGCACTGTCCCCACTGTCCCCACCACTGTTCCCACCACGGTCCCACTCTCCCCACTTTCCCCACGGCCCCAACCACTGTCCCACTGTCCCCACTGTCCCACTGTCCCCGCCGCCGTCCAACTGAGCTGTCCCACTTTTCCCACCATTGTCCCCACTGTCCCCACCACTGTCCCCACTGTACCTCTGTCCCATTGACCCACCGCCGTCCTCGCCACCGTCCTCACCACTGTCCCCACCACCACTGTCCCCACCAGTGTCGGACTGTCCCCACCACATTCCCACTGTCCCCACACCACTGTCCCCACCACTGTCCTCACCAGTGCCCCCACCAGTGTCTCACCGTCCCCACTGTCCCCACCACTGTCCCACTGTCCCCACTTTCCCCGCCACTCTCCCCACTGTACTACTGTCTCCCCACTGTCCTCACCACCGCCTTCACCACTGTCCCCACCACTACCGTCCCCACCACTGTCCCACTGTCCCCACCTCTGTCCCGCTGTCCCCTCACCACTGTCCCCACCACCACCGTCCCCACCACTGTCCGCACCACTGTCCCACTGTCCCCACACCACTGTCCCCACCACCACCGTTCCCACCACTGTCCCAGTATCCCCACCATTGTCCAACTGTCCCAGTATCCCCACCATTGTCCAAATGTCCCGAGGAGCGGGACTCGTTTGCCGGCGGCGAAGGGGAGGGGGGGTTCGAACCGGTAGTGACCTCTCCAGTTTTCGAGGGGGGGGGGTCGAAACGGTCGTGACTCCCCCCCTTTTCACCCCTTTTCATGATGGACTGGGAGGGGGGGGGGGGAGGGGTTCGAACTGGTAGTGACCCCTCCCGGTTTTCGGGGGGGGGGGACGGGTTGGAAACCCCCAGTGCCCCCCCCCTCCCCCAGTTTTCTGCCAGCAGCGGTAGAACACGCTCTTTCAGAGATGCGCTTCCTCCTGTGCGCCGTCCAGGAGCGCTCCAAGCTGGCCCCAGAGGGGTGGCAAACTCCACGACCTCGGGCCAAAAGCGCCCGAAGACGGCTCGCTACGGCCCCAGGTGGACCCGCGCCAGCCCTGGAGGCGCCGGGGGCACAAAAGAGGGAGTGGAGGCCGACGGTTGCCTGAGAGGCAAGCTCACCGACGTGTCTCAAGTCTGAGGGGGAACTCTTGTACTTGTTCGCGTTTCCGACCGCCCAGAACGGCCCAAGAGGCCTCCAAGATCGCCCCAAGACAGTCCAAGAGGCTCCCAAGAGGGCCTCCAGACTACCCAAAGAGGGCCTCAAGACGGTCCAGGAGGCCCCCAAAGAGCAGTCAAGGGGCCCCCAAGTGACCCCCGGGAAGACTCAAGAGGCCTAAAGACTGCCCGCAAAAATGGCCCCAAGAGGCTCCCAGACGGTCTGGAAGATCTCCAAAGAGGCCCAAGAGGCCGCTGGGGCACCCTGGCCATCTCTTTGGCGCGACAGGCCTCTGGACGCTCCCCGGATCGCCAAAATATCGGCTCAAGGCGCCCAAAAGGACACCAAGCCTAAAAGGGTTCAAGAATGCAGAAAAATCCTGTGCATCTTTGTGGAAACTGGCATGTTCAGCATACTCGTTGTGCGGGTTCTGAACAGCGTCTCGGACGGCCCAAGGGGCCTCAAAGATGGACCAGACACGAACAAAGATGCCCCCAAGCAGGGCCCCAAGACGGTCCAGGAAGACTCGAAGAGGGCCCGAGAGGCCTCTGTTTTTGTTCTATCCCGCTTCCTTGCCTCACGCCGCTACACCGCATTCAAGTCATTCGAACGCATTTTTGGTCCCCTCTCGGATCCTCCCAGAAGCCATGTTTGCGCCTCTCGGGGACACGTCGAGGCTGTATCAGGACATTGTTCGGGATTCCAGGAACCGTCTTCGGTGATCCTGCGGTCGATGGACACAATCACCATCAACTGCACGAGGTCCACCAAACGCAAGAAAATCTAAAACACAACGTATGACGCTCTATACGCACTCAAAACGTGTACTGAAACCGTTGGGCACTTCGGGCGACCCCTGGGATGGGAACGGAAATATATGTTGAGATTCCTGTCCCGCAGCACACCGCGTCAGATGCTCTTTCGGAACCCTTGCAGGAGCTCCTGGGGCCCTATTTGAAGCTTCGCGATGCCCTACAAAAAGCCCTTCGAGAGCCCGCATGCCGTCCACAGAGTCTAGAAACGCCTACAAACCCTGAGAATCTCCAGAAGAAACCGCAAAAACGCTGCACATGAAGGCCGCTGTGGTGAAGCCTCTCTTGCACGTGTTCGGCGCATGATTCCCGCCTCCAGGGCCCTTTCTCTGGACGCCTGTAGGGCCGCCTACAGTGTCCCCTCAGACCTCACGGTGGTCTCCAATGTCCTTCGGGTGAGCCCCGAGCTAGCCACGGAAATGTATCCTCATCCTCCACTCCCAAACCCCGAAATACGCGGGTGCGGTCCTCATGGGCCGTTTTTGGTAACAATTCTCGCCTTCTGGGACCGTCTTGGACCCCACTGTGGTCCACTGATCCTCACGGTGTCCACTTCTTCCTATCGCAGGCCGCCCGCTGCCATTTCGCAGGATTGGAACTTTGCCATCTCTGCATCAAGCGACTACGCCCCCCCCAGACAAAAGGGGCAGCAGTGTCTGCCATATTGGGGGCGTTCGTATGAACAAGCAAGTTAAAGCGCATGGATCAAGAAGGGAACCGAGCTGCCCATCAAGCACAGGTGCTAACTCTCACAGGTAACTAACGTTTTTAAGCCAGAAGAGCCGAAAGAGCTTCGCATCTTATACTTACTCGCAGACCTAATCAGAGTCCATTGGTGAGCCGCCGCTGGCTAGCAGCTAACAGACTCTTGACCACGTATAAGTTAGAAGGCCCAGCGCATCAGGGCGGGGGATCTTGCTTTGCAGATACATCACAGCAAACAACACCACGCAGCTGTCTGCCCATGAGCTAAAAAGGTGCCCTAAGCTAGACGGCGCCTTCTTTGTGCTAGTAGGGTTAGGGGTTCTACTAGTATCCTTCGTGAGCCGCTGGCCCTGGGGGGGCACCAAATACACAGCCCGCTGCCATGTCATCCACGCGCGGGCGAACTCCCAGCGCGGCAGAGATCTAGAGTCATTCACCGTTCCCTCCCCGGTCCTTCCTTTTCCTTTGCTCTAAGTGTGCTTCCCCTCCCGTTCCTGTCTCATTTCCCCACTCTCTGCGCTCCCTGCCTCCCCCCTTCTCGTGTCAGTTCGCCATCCCAGGGCATTGCACGCGTGAAATAGATGCCGTGGAAGAAAAGAAAGGGAAGGCCGCGATGGTGAAGGTCGGGCAAGGGCGAGCAAACAGACCACGAGGGGTGGACGAGCCATGCTTGCGAAGCCACGGAGATGCTCGCTCCACGCTGACAGCAGGAAGATCGACGAGACGCATCGCCTGGACAGGCCCTTCTTCACCGAGATGTGCTCCATGCTCAGGCCCAGCAGGAAGACAATGGTATCCCACATGTGCTTGTGCCGTGGCGTCTCGAGGGGGGTGCCCAGTTCGGCCACCAGCTTCTGCGTGGATGAAATAGCACCTGTGGCAGTGGCAATCACCTCACTCGCCATGCTTTTGGCTTTACCTTTCCTTGCCCCTGTCTGGTCCCAACGACTTACTTAACATTAATCACAACATTTGTGCGTGAAGCCGTTCTGACACACATAATATGCTTACGCCTGCTAAGCAGTAGTGATGCCCACACTAAAGATGCAATCGTGTAGCATGTGCTCACCAACTGAGCCCTTGATCGTCTTCGAATCAATGGGTGGTGTCGGCGCCTGGAACGCGCAAAGTAACTATGCTGCATACTTCCATCGACACCCGAGGTGGAGGGAAACCACACCTCTCCCCTTCTCTACATCCGCATCCGGGAGAGGGCGGGACGCATGTGCGAAGAATGGCAGCGGGGGATGGAAATGGAGATCGGGTGGGGGAAGGGTTCTCCTCCACCCCATTCCCCTCCACTGTTCATCTCGCTCCCCCTCCCGCTCCACCACAAGGGTCGACCTAAACAGGAACTGTCGTTTTTCGTTGCGTTTTCGTTGTCCCTCGTCTCTTCTTCAATCCGCCTTTGCCGCAAAACGAAATCGAAACAAAAGCAGCCCACGGAATCGCCAAAACAACGTTCAGCACGCCCCCTTGCTCCACCACCTCCTCCGGCCACCTTCTCCGCCCCCTCCGCCCTGCCCTCCTCCTGCTCCTCCGCCGCCAGCCCCCTCTCCTCCCTCGCCTGCTCCACTGCACTCCCCCTCCTGCTGCTGCCCCCCCCCATTGCCCCAGACGCATTCCTCTCTCAGCAGCCTTCGCTTGCGCCAGCGACCACACGCCAGACGATCTTAGAATCACGCGTGGCTGAGACGGTCTGCTTGTGGCGGCAGGAACAACTGCCCCTCCCGCTTCCCCCCCCTCCCCCAACGCCGCCGCGTGCCCTCTCCTTTCTTACTCCTCCCGCCTCGCCTCCTGCTCCCAGCGCCCTCGCCCACGCGGCGCGGAGGCCCCAACCCTCCCCCCCGCGGGCGTTTCGGGACCGCCCGGCGACCCCCGCCGAGCGTCTGGCTGAGCGTGGTGAGGGTCTGGTCCGTGATCTCGCAGATCTGCTGCATGACCTGCGCAGGACCCGACACAGGAGGCCCCGGGAGCCACTCCCCGCGGACAGGCCGACAGTAGGATGTCAAGATGCGGTCGGCTCAAAATGCGCTCTCAGAATTCTCGGGCGGCACCCTGCTCTGCAGCCCGCGCGGAACAGTAAGACATCGGGGACACCTGCGAAATCTGAGCGGCGTCCATCCTCTTGCCCTCCGCTTGCGACCACGCCTCCAGCCTCTCGCCATCGCCTGGACGTCCATTCCCGTGCATGTTTCGATTTCGTGCGTTTATCTTTGCACGGTGGTCCTCGATGCCCCTGGATGGTCCTCGCCGAGAGAACCGCACACGTCCGAGCGATGCCACGGCATGACGCCTGTTGCTCGTTGGGCATCTCTATCCCTGGGCCTGATGGCCTAGCCTCCTCCTGCTCCTCGGCCCCGCCCACCCTCTGACTCTTTCTCATCCGTCTCCGTCCACCCCTCCTCCTCCCGCCTCCTCCTCCTCCTCCTCCTCCATCTATCCTATCCACCCCTCCACCCCTCCATAACGAGGAAAAACATATCTCAGCTTCGCCGCTTGGCCTTGGCCTCTCCATGGCACCTGTCGGGATGGGCCTGGGGCTCCGATCATGCGCTGACCGCGCTCCCTGTGGCTCTCCATCCCCGTCGCTAGCAACAGCATCGGCGTCGGCATTGCCAGCGTCGTCGCCAGCGACGTTGTCGACTTCATGGCCGTCGTCATCAAAATCGTCTTCATCGTCCTCCGCGTCCTCACACACGTCGGTTGGAAGAAGTAGGTTTAAATATGAAGCAGGAAGGCGGCGAATGAAGTAGATCGGGTCCAGGCCCTGCCAAAAAACAACAACACACAACGAAAGCAGATCGATTATTGAAGTAGGAAGGCGCTTGAAATATATTGGGATCTGGGAATACAGAAATACCTACTTCCAGCGACCGGCGGGTAATCATGTCGCCGTCGCCGATCTCATCCTCAGGCACTGGGCGGCTTTATTTGTTCAGTGCAACAATTCCGAGACCTCTCGACCCCTGCCTTGGCGCCGGCCTTTCGTCGCGATGACAGTCATCGTGCTACCAGAAAGGACGACGAGCAAGGACTGGAAGGGCTTTTCTGGCCAATGCGAGCCTCGGTCACGAATACGGTCCCCCAAATGGTTCGATCTGAGAACCGCCCTGAAAACCAGAACCCCTCATGATCGGTGTGACTGCAGTCGGTTGACAATCATGGGCCCGAGAAACAGGTCTCGGGAGTCTTAGATTGGCAAGAAACTTACCGCCTCGATCATTCGAGCCGGTGGATGTCTGGGCCAGGGTGTCAGACAATCTTCCCCCTTGTGCGCATCCCAGGGTTCGCTCTGACAAAAGCCTGGAGAGGGACCCTGGCCGTGGTGACGAGGAGACCCCCGCGAGGCCCCCGCCCCCAAAAGGAGATCCAGATACCTGAATCCTTGATTTCCCATCCGTCTCCCCTCCCACGCCTCCTCCGCCTCCTCCTCCTCCTCAAACTCCTCCCCCGCCTCCTCCGCCACCTCTGCCTCCCCCGCCTTCCCCGCCTCCCCCCCCTCCCCCTCTTCGGCTGGCCGACAGAGCCCACGGGCAGCCCAAAGAGGGGGGGAAGGTGGAGGCACGGAGCGCGATCCAGCAAAGCAGCTGTTCAGGTCGAGCGGGCTTCCGCCGCTCGGGCGGGGACTCTCTCGGGGCCACGCTGCTTCTGCTGCCCAGGTCACCAGCCCCCAGGTCACCTGAGGTGGTCTGGAGCTGGAAGCGGCCAGACGAGGCGCGATCCGGCGAGGCAGTTGTTTCGGTCGAGCGGGCTTCCGCCACTCGGGCGGGGACTCTTTTGGGTCCTCGAGGGCCGCGCTGCTTCCACTGCCGCGCCGTCTGCGCTGCAATGGGCCCCGAGCAAGGAAGTCAAGACGGGAGGGTCGGGGGTCCGCTTAAAACCCATCCCCCGACCCCTCCCAGGGCCGTACGTGATCAGCTTTCCGAGCAGCGTCCAGCAGCCGTTGAGACGAAGAGGGCCCTTTCCCCCCCCCCCTCAGCTGGCGAAAACCGTGCAAGGCTGCAGCTCCCTCGGCCCCCCCACACGGCTTCAAGTCTGGCTGATCCGCAGGACCTGGAGGAACAGACGGTGAGGGCAAGGGAGACGCAAAGAGCAGACACCAGGACATACCCTTCCGCAGGCTATGCAGCAGGGATCGAGCAGGACAGAACTGTGGAGCGAGCGTGCAGGGGGGCCAGCGAATGCCAACGGCGGGGGGGGGGGGTGCTTCTGGATCCGCTGCTGAGGGAGAGCGAGATGGGAAGGCGATGGAGGATGGCAAGGGAGGAGGGCACTGGACCAAGACCCACGGCGTGCTGACCCAGCTGTTTCACGGCGTGGGCCCCCTGGAGGCCTCGACCCCTTCCCTGGGAGTGGTTCTTCCTCTTGTGCAGCGCTTCGACGGCCCACAAATGACCAATCACGAGCGGAGTCCCGCGGAGGCCCAAAAATGACCAATCACCGCCGGTCGTGACTTGGACACGACACGTGGGGGTCTTGGGGAGGGCAACGGCGGAGAGAGGCCGGGCCGGCCCGAGGACACCATGCCGATCCGAATCCAGGATCAAGCAGCATCGAATCGGGAAATCGGGTCGAATCGAACGGTGTGTCGGATCGGGCTGCAAAACAGCCACCCAACTATACCAGCCAACCAACCTGCCGACCGACCAGCCACCAGCCAGCCAGCCTGCCAACCAACGGTCCTCTTGCGTTGCCTTGCCTTGCATTGCATTGCGTTGCATGTGATTTGCATCTGCAGTACATTGCGTTGCAGTAAGCTGCGGGCGATGGGGAGGACAGGAAGGAGAAGGGAGGACGGTACAGAGGAGTGGATCAAGGAGGAGTGAGGAGAGAGGGGGAGGAGGGGAGGAGGAGGAAGGGGGAAGAAGGAAGGAGACGAGAGGAGGAAGGAGGAAAGGGGGAGGGAGAAGGACGAGGAGGATTGGATAAACTTTAGTTCGCCTCCATGGCCCTCGTCACCGTCGTCGTCATCATGGTCGTCGACGTCGTCGTCGTCGTCTTCGTGACTTCTGTTTGCGTCGGCCCCCGCGGCGCTGCCACGCGACGACTAGAATGTTTTGTTTTGAGATTGTATACACTTCTCGATTTGTGCGTGTCATCCTTACGCAGGGGCCATGCTAATCTTCTCTGTATCGTTCCAATGTTAGCGGATGATCGGCGCGACGACTAGAATGGAACACGATGTCTTCACGCCTGCAGGCCTTGCCGCGTGGCGAGCGGAGTGGCACAGCATTCGTTTCGTCCCCCCGGGGCGCTGCCACGCGACGAACGGCGTGAGATGGCTGCCCTCTGTCGGCCCCCACGGCGCTGCCGCGTGACAGGCAGAGCGGATGGAGTACTGCTTCGCCGCGCCGCCATGGCGTCGCCACGTGGCAAGTGCGGTGGGCGAGTGCCCTCCTCAGGCCCCCAGCGGCGCTGCCACGTGGCGAGTGTAGCGGAACGGCATGTTTGCTCCGCCCGCGCCAGGCCGTCCCACGTGGCGAATGGACTGGAATAGCATTGTTCTCAGCCCCCGCGGCGCTGCGCCGTGACGGGCAGAGAAGAGTTGTATTTAGTCGCCCGCCAAGGCGTTGCCACGTGGCGAATGGCGTAGAGCATGTTTTGTTCGGCCCCGCGGCATTGCCACGTGACGAGACGCGCATTCTGTTACAGTGCGTTGCATTGCAGTGCATTGCATTGCATTTTGTTGCGCTGCATTGCACTGCATCATGTTGCGTTGCATTGCGTTGCATTTGCGTTGCATTTGCGTTGCATGTGCATTGCATTGCATTGGATTGCATTGCGTTGCATCGCGTTGCACTGCATTGCGTCCTTTTGTGTTGTTCAGCGTTGCATTCGCTCAGCAGTTGCAATACATTGGACTGCAGCAAGTTGAGGGCGAGGAGAAGGAGGAGGAGGACAAAAGGGATGGGGAATAAGGAAGGAAGGTACAGAGGCTGGGGGGGGGAAGGAAGAGGAGTGAGGAAGGAATGGAAAGGAGGGGAGGGGGACTGGAGGGGAGAACCGGTCAACCATCGGAGCAAGCGGGCAACTGGCCACCCAGCCACCCAACCACCCAACCAACCAACAAACAAGCCAGCCAACCACTCCACTTACCAACCAGCCAACCAGCCGAGCAACCAACCAACTGCTCCGGGAAAAAACTGTTTGATCTGGCATCTAGTAGCGAACCAACCAACCGACCAATCGACCAACCATTCCCTGCATCCTTCCGGACAGAATCTTGGTGACCCCACAATCGGCGAGCCAATCAGCCAACCGGACCACCAACCAACCAGTCCTTCAGTGGGACTAGTTCGAGGACGGCCCATACGGCGGGCCCCAGAGAACAGTTGTTCGATCCGAAAGACTCGCCATCGCTTGGACGTCCATTCCCTGTGCATTTGTCGGTTTCGTGCGTGGATTTTCTTCGCAACGTGAACAAAATGCTCCTCGATGGCCCTTGCCGATAAAAAATGCACACGTCCGAGCGATGCCAAGAAGAATCTTACCCACAGAAACACGGCCCTGAGAAACAATAAAAAAACCCTTCTCTGAAGGGGCCCTGGGACATACAAATACATAGACACACGTAAAAGGATTCCCTATGTTTCCTGGGTTTTTGTCGTCCCCCCCACTTCCCATAATTTCCGGTATTTTCCTGCGAATCGACAATTAATCGTGTCTGTGTGTGTGTGTTTTCCCCTTCTGACTCTCCCCCTACGCGGGCGCAGGGCCTCTCGCGGCCGTCGCCGCGCGGCCGCCGAGCCCGCTGCGCTCCGCGCGAGGGGCGTCGCAACCTCCGCACAGCTGTGCGTTGTCGCCTGGCTTCGGGCCCCGGGGGCCCTCACGGATCGGACGGCGCGTCGGAGAGGGCCGCAGGAAGACGGGGTCTGGGGCTCTGGTCTGATGTCTCGCGATGGTTTTACTTCTGTCGCAATGCCGGAGCTCAAAACTCATGCGAGGTGCGGGCATCGGAAACGGAAGCGGAATGAGGGCGATGCGCCCTATATGTGATCGAAGATTGTTCAACTCACGCTGATACAGACTGATCAGCCCATCACGAGGCCCTCCAGAGAGGATGCCTCATGACGGGGGAGGTGGGGGCGAGAGAGGGATGATGGCGGAGGGAGATTGAGGGAAGAGGGACTGGGAAGGAGGGCGAGGGAGGGGTGAGGGCGAGGGAGGGGGAAGGAGGGCGAGGGAGGGGAGATTACGGAGGGAGGACGAGGAAGCGAAGGGGGATACGGGATGGGGGAGGTGGGAAAGTGGTGAAGCGGCGTGAAGAGAGGAGGCGGGAGGAGCAAGGTTAGAGGGAGGACGAGGGTAAGAGGAGGAAGCAAACCCGTGGGAGCGGGGCACACAACATACGAGCCACATCAGCGGCCTCCGACCAGAAGAGCTCATCTAGCACACGGTTGTGTCGCAAACGGTACTCGCAAACCGTACGGGGTTGATTAATTATGGGATTGGAAGAGGGAATATGTAACATCACAACCACGATGGCTAACTGCGCAATGCCCCAAGAGGGATATCTACAAACATCACAACCAAGATGGCAATCACTAAAAACTTCTACCCAATGCGGAAACCCAAAGCGGAACCCTAGCTAGTGTATATTTCATTCGCTGAGCAGCTCCACCATGGAGGCTACCTTTAGGTCTGAGCTAGAGGGGCCCCAAGAAAGTTTGTCAGGAGAAGGGGACGAGCTCAAAATCGAATCCTGAGCCCCTCCCGGTGTCTATCTGGTGCAGTTTGTGTCCCCGGATCAGGTTTTGAAGGTCCCCGGACCCGAAACGACCCCAGAAGACTGACAAAGGCAAAAAGCATACTCGAACGTGGACCCTCGAACTCCGCCCCTTCCTTCTGGCTGGAACCAGGGCTGGGCCACCTCTGACCCCACGCCTGCTCCGAACTCCACCTCCTTCCTCCCCCTCCGTACTCGGCTGGCCTTGAAATTGATCTGCTCCCGCATGCAGAACTGGACGGCCTGGCGAGATCTCCTTCTCTCAAGCAACTCCAACCCCTACTCGTCCCAGTGCTCATTCCCTTGAGACTCCTTCTCCTTCTCGTCCTCGGTCTCATCGCAGACGTCGCGGCAGCCGCCCCTCGTCCTCCTCCTCCTCCACCTTTCCCTCCTCCTTTCCCTCCTCCTCCTCCTCCTCCTCCACCTCCTTTCCCTCCTCCTCCTCCTCCTCCTCCGTCTCCTTCTCCTCCTCCTCCTCCTCCTCCTCCTCCTCCGCCTCATCCTCATCCTCATCCTCCTGCTCCTCCTCCTCCTCCTCCTCCTCCTCCTCCTCCTCCTCCTCCTCCCACTCATCAAGCCGAAACTGCTCCTCCTACTCAACAAACGGAATTATCTGGACTCCTCTCGCTCCTCCTCGCCATGACCCCACGCTTCCCTCTCGTTTCCTTCCCCTCCATCGCCCCAATAACGACCTCACTTCTCCTGCCGATCCTCCTCCTCATCCTCCCCGCTCCCCTTGTGTTCCTCCTGCACGTTCTGTTCATTTTCCTTCGCCGCTCCTGGCGAGGTAACCACAACGTACCCATACCGCTACTCCCTGGACCTCTTCCAGGCTGCGTTATGACCAGAATTTTGAAGCGAACCTAGCCGTGGCGACGAGGGCTTCCAAAGAGGCCCCGAACGGCGAGAACTTGGGCGTAACTTGAGGGGGCGATCATTGGGGGGGAGAGAACAGTATATCTTCCGTGTCACTTGTGGGCCTCAGTGGGCCCCTTAGAGGGCCCCTTTAGGGCACAAAAGGTGGTAGCTTCCCCCCCCCCCTACCAATCATCGCACCCCCACTACTGGACGCCCGAAAAACAAGGGAAGGGTAGCGGCTGGCGGCATCGGTATACCTTGTCTCCCCTCTGCTAGTGCTGCTCCTCCTTCATCCCCCCCCCAAGGCGCCATGTGCTCTGGCAGGCTCTGCATCGTGTAATCCGCTGGTGCCAACGTCGAGTTGGCACCGCCGCGGCGTGCGGGCGATCGTGCTGCCAAGAACATGCAGGGAGAGGGAGGGGGAGGGGAGAGAGAACGGGGAGGGATGACGAGAGGATGGGAGGCGATGGGACCCAGACCCCCTCGAGGCATGAGAAAATCGCGGCGGTAAATGTTCGTGCAATTTTCTGCCCCTGGGGGCCATTAAAGGGCTCCGGGACCGTCAAAGCAGGGCTCGGGATGAGAAGCCAGTCCTCGGAGAGGGATCCAAACCTCTGGGGTCCACGTGCTGGGACAGGTGCGGGGATCCAGTTGACGTCGGGGAGAGGGAACCTGGACACTTCGGTGGCAACTCATGGAAGCCGCCCGTGCCGTCTTGCTGGCTCTTGCGAATCGACGCTGACCGACGCTAAATCTGCGCCGATCGAGGCTACACCAGCGCTTGCGCACCCCAAAAGGCGGAACCCTACGAGGCCGCCCACAATCGGGTCGGGCGAAAGGGGGGGATAGCAAAGGGGGGGGGGGTGAGAATCAGCTCGCGTAGCTGATTTTCCTGGCGCCTCCAGGCGCCAGAGGCGGCCATGCATCGAGGAATGGGCCCCTCGGCGAGGCCGAGACCAGCTGCACGCGGCACATTTCGTACCCCCCCCCCTCCCTAAGGAGGAGGAGGATCGCGCAGACTCTCGCCGCGCGCAGCGCCAGCGGGCGGTCCTCCCCGCGGCGCCCTGCGCCCCGCCGCCCCCCTGGAGCGCGGCCGCCTGCCCCGGGGCCGCGCAGGCCGCGCGGCACGACGGCCCTCCGCGCGCCCCCCCGGGAGGCGCAGGGACAGAGCCAGGGCCAGGACAGGTCCGGGATCTTGGAGATCCGGCCTCCTCCTCCTCCTCCTCCTCCTCCTCCTGCCCTTCCTCCTCCTCCTCCTCCCCCTCCTCCCTCCTCCTCCTCCTCCATCTCCTCCTCCTCCTCCTCCTTCTCCTCTTCCTCCTCCTCCTCTTTCTCCACGTTCCCCTCACATCCTCGTTTCTTCCAGCGTCTCGAAAGCATTGGTCGGGGATCTACTGACCTGGGTCTGTCCGAACCCGGGCCAGTCGGGCCTTGCAGGATTCTGCAAGGCCCTGCATGATCCTGCGCCCAAGCCCGGGTCAGTGCAAACCAGGCCCTGCAGGATCCTGTAAGATCTGGCGCTCTGACAAATCACTGTTTGCATTGACCCCCGTCTCGAGGCCCCCGAATCGGAACGGAAATATTTCACCCGGCCTCTGGGCCGACGAAAACCGACCCGGTCCCAAACATCCGATGTCGTGAATGTTTCACTGCGCTGTGTCGGGAAGTCCCAGGGCAAATTTTCATCCTGAATCGTTTTTTGACGGTCCCAGGGCCTGGCGACGACCTCTAGGAGGCCGAAAATTGCAAAAACAACCTCCGTGCTGATTTTTCAATGCGTTGGTTCTTTGGGGTCGTGGTAAAACGCTGGTCCCTGAGCAGTGGTCGAGAGGTCGGGGGCCCTGTGCCTCGAACACATGGAAGCACTGGATGCCTTGGTCTGGGTCGGGCATGTCCTCCTACAGACGGCCTTGCAGGGGGGGAAAAAAAAAATAGCCAAACAAGATCCCCAACTAGACAACAAACTGATAGAAACATTTTTGGACGTCAGACATGGGTACCGAAAAGATGGGTACGATGCCCAACAACAAATGCTGTCCCAAACCAACAGCGGCCGCTGTTGGGCAGGCGGCCTTCTGCCTCAAGTGTACGCAGGCCGCGGCGGTGCGGACAGCGAGTCCTGCTCAAAATGAACAGGCACTGCTGTGGAGCACTGTACCCATTCTTTCCGAGCCCGACCTTTGCGCATGGGCCTGGAAGGTGCACCGGGCGCCGCGGCCGCTCCGGAGCGGCCGCGCGACGCGCTCCGAGAGCGCCCTCGGGCGATGCTCACCTGCCGGTCTGGGCCGCCCGACGGACGTCTGCAGACCCCCGACGCCGTGGTTTTCCACAAGACCGCGTTTCTCTGTTTTCGGCGATGACGGGCGTCATGGGGGGGGGGGGAGGGGTGTGTGTGAGGTAACGCCCCCCCCCCACCCCCCGACGTGCGACCAAGGCACCACAGCCGCGCCCGCGCGCACGACGACAATGAGCAACGAGCGACGATCGACGAGCGACGACGACGCGAGCAGCATGTAGGTGGCAATCTGCCACACAGCGCCTGCGTACCCCGCAACAGCCGTGTGCAACGCAACACACGTGTACATCACACGGCTTGCGTGCACCATTGCGCCGGTGTACACCACAGCGAATGTGTACACCGCGGCAGCCATGTGCAACACAGCGCCCGTGTATACAACAACGCCCGCGCGCACCGCAGCGCCTGCGCACACCACGGCGCCACGAGTACACCACTGAATCCGCGTGCAACGCAGCGCTGGGATACCACAGCGTTTGTGTGCACAGGACGGGTGGAACGAGCATGTAGGTGAGGATCTGCGCGGACAGCTAAACGCCACGCCGAGGGAAGTGCTGATAATACAACGCGACGATATTCCCTCCTCCCTCGTCCTCCACATCCTCCTCCTCATCCTGCTCCTCCTTCTCCTCCTCCTCCTCCTCCTCTTCCCTCACCCTGCCCCCCTTTCGCGCGGATCGGCGCTGCAGCGAATCTCTGCGTGCACGGCAAACTTGTCTATTGAATCGGCCCACTTGGTTCTCGGACGGTCAATTTTGCAGGACGCAGATGGGCGGACGTGGGATGATGAAGAAGCCCTGAGACACACAAATACATACAAACGAATAAAAGGATTCCCAATATTTTCCCATATTTTCACATAGATCTGGGGAATCGACGATTAATTGTGTCTGTGTGTTTTCTCTGCTCCCGAAATGATGCGGGCGGACTCGGGAGGACTCGTAGATTCCAGCGGCGCTCCTCTTTCCATAAGAATGCCATTCCAAATCCTTAATACAATTATTTTCTGTGGAACCCACAGCGGTTCCTTGTTGCCATAAGGATTCCTTCTCAAATTATACGCAACTGTGGTGTTCTGTTGCGCACGTTTGCTGTGATGCACACAGGCGCCGTGGTATACGCTGGCGCTGTAGTGCGCGCAGGCATTGTGGTGTGCACCGGTGCTGTGCTGCACGTCTGATGTGTGGTGTACACAGGCGCTTTGGTGCAGATCGCCACCTACATGCTGCTGCTACCCGTCCTCGGTCATCCCTAGGCATTCCCAGACGCCGCTGGCGCGAAGCGTGCCGCCATCGGCCAGGAATGACAAAAAACAGGCTCCGACCGCGGACCGCGTTCGCGCGCACGACGATGATGAGCGACGAGCGACGAGCGACGAGCGACGAGCGACGACAACGACGACGACGACGACGACGACGACGACGACGACGACGACGACTGCGGACCAGACTCCTATGCGGACACCTATGGGGATTTCGATGCGCACGGCGGCAAAGCCCGGAACGCCGGGGGGGGGAGCGTTACGTCATAGGGGGGGGGACGGGGGGGCGGGGCCATGACGCCCGTCATGCCCCAAGCAATAAAGAAACACGCAACAACACCCATCGGTCGAAAGAAGTAGGTAGAAACATGAAGCAAGAAAACGTGGAAATTAGATTGGGTGTCCGCCCGCCCCCTGAGGAGGACGGAAAATGCGAAGCCACTCGATAATTGAAGTAGGAAGGAACTTGAAGTAGATTGGAATCAGGGAAACCAGAAACCCCTACTTTCAACAATCGATGGGCACAGGCAGCCCGTATAATTCGCCGGCCCAACGGGCCAGAGGCGTGCTAAGATCTCCGGTAACTGCTTTACAGTATTTCTACTTCGCGCGCGGGGGGCGGCCCCTGGGGGTCCCTTGAGGAAAAGTACCCCAGCAGGATCGGATCAGAGATGGTTTTCCGCCTGGGCGCCGCCCTCGAGACCCTCCAGAGAGCCCCAAGAAGGGTCAAGAGGCCTCCAAGAGGCCCCCAAGATGATACAAGAGGGCTCGAAGATGCCATAAGATCGCTCCAAGACGCCCGACATGGCCCCCAGATGCCCCAAGAGGCCTCCAAGAGCACTCTCAAGAAGGGCCCAAGATGCAAACATCATTGTTTTTCCTTAGGTGTTGGAAAGATTTTGGTGTTTCCACCTTTTCGGCTTCCCGACGCCCCAAGACGGCCCAACAGGCCCCCAAGATCGCCCCAAGAGGGCCCAAGAGGCCCCCAAGAGGGCCCCAAGACGGCCCAAGAGGGCCCCAAGACGGCCCAAGAGGCCTCCAAGAGGGCCCAAGAGGGCCCCTAGAGCGCCCCAAGAGCGGCCACAGAGGGGCAGCACGAAACAACATTTCAAGCCCTCGGTCCTGAGAGGCCTCCAGGAAGCCCCAACAGGCCCCTAAGAGGCCCCAAGAGGCCCTCAAGAGCTCTCAGGAGGCCCCCAAGAGGCCCCCGAGAGGCTCTAAGAGGCCCCCAAGATGCCTCTTGGAGGCCCTAAGAGGCCCCCAAGAGGCCCCCACGGGCCGGCGGATTGAGCGAAGCGATTCAAGAAAGACTCACGGTGAGGATGCAAGGGCCTTGGAAGGCACCGTCGACACCTGGCGGGCGGGGCGCGGCCAGCGAGAGCGGCCAAGGAGGGGCCCAAGGTGAAGGATGCGAGGGTGAACCTGGCAAAGTCGCTCATCCTTGCTATGCTGGTTGACTGTCGGCCGCCCGGCGGTCTGGACCCGCTGCCCGGGGCCCGCTTGTCATCTTGGGAAGGCAGCAAAAGACGTGTCGCCGTGACTTGACGGTCCTCGGCGCGCCCGAAAGTGCTCTCCAGGGGACGGGCCAGGGGGGACGAAAGGGTAGGATGGCAAAGAGTAGGGTAGAGAATCAATCCACGTAGCTGGATTCTCTGGCGCCTCCTGGCGCCGGGAAGCTTCCGCTTGTCGAGGAATGGGCCCGGCGGCGGGGCCGAAGCCAGCTGCACGCAGCAACTCTCGCACCCCCCCCTTTCCCTACCCGTCGGTCGGAAGAAGCAGGTAGAAACATAAAGTAGGAAGGCGCAAAAAGTAGACTGGACTCCCGCCCACCCCCTGAAGAGGAAAGAAACGGTGAAACCATGCGCCCATTGAAAATAGGGAGGCGCCTGAAGGCAGATTGGGCTCCGAAAACCCCGAGAACATGCCTGCGGTCAACGACCGGCATGTACCCTACCCTTCCGCCCGGCCCGAGAGGGGGCACCGCACAGCGCCGGGCCATAGAGCATGAGCATGTTGTGGTGGTCGGACAGCAGCTGCTGCGACTGCTCCTGGCCGCAGGTGCCCTGCTTCTGCCGCCTCCACGCGCCGCGCGGGGCACCCCCGGCCGCGCCGCGTGTCCTTGTCGGCCGGCTGCGCCGGCGGCTGCAGGCCCCCACCTTCCCCTTGTGCGCAGGAGAGCGGCGGCGGAGACTGCTCCGTCGATCCCCTCCCCCCTTCCCTCCCCGGTGCCTCGCGCCCCTCCCCCCAGTGCCCCCTCCTCCTCGCCGCCCACTCCTCCACGGATCGGCGGCCCCGTCCCTGCCACCTTCGCCGTCGCTCGAGCCCGGGGTCCCGAGGAGGGTGCGAAGCGGCGGCAATGCCAGATTGCACCAAGCGCCCGGCAAGGCATGAGGGTGACACCCCCGAGCTGTCTGGCTGATGCTCTGAGGGGGAGTCTGCGTACAGGGGGGGTTGCACCAGGGCTGGACCTAAACGTTGTTTTTCATTTTGTTTTCGTTTTGTTTTTCGTTGTGTCCTTCCTGTTTTCTTGCACCTCCCCCTGCCAAAACGAAAAACAACACACAGCCGAACTCCAGCAAAACAACGCTTAGGTCCAGCCCTGCCTGGGCTGCACCACCGTGCCTCGATGTGGTGCCAAACAAACCTGCACGGTGGGTCCTCTCCACTTCTCTTTGCACTTCGGCTTCGTTTCGGATGCACCTGTGGGTGCGCCGTGAAGTGCATTCGGGCCACCGCACCTGATTCGGTTATCCGATCAAATGGGTGACCCTAACCCCCCCCCGCCGCCGGCGCGTCTCGCATCGACTTGGGTGCCCGGGCTTCCCCCATGGTCCAACAACAACTCCCATGCTCCAAGACGGATTCCATGACGGCGAAAAAACTTCTTAGAAAATTCAGCACGGCGTCCATCATGCTTCTGAGAAGTCCCCCAAAAAACAGCATGGTCTTACATGCGATCGGAATCCCCCACGGATCCCCCATAACATCTTGCACCTACAAATTAGTCATAACACCTGACGGATACCAACTCATGTTGCTTACTAGCCTTCTCGTTTCCGATGCAGCTGAAAAGGAGACGGAAATCAAGGACCCCATTCTCGTGCGATCGACTGCGCATATAAGATGGCACCTAACATGATCGACCCACGAACGCGGAAAAGGAATATCGAAATGTAAAGCATGGCAACGTTTCAATGACTCCTGATTGGGCGACGGGCGAATACACTGCTCAATGTATCGATATTGATGTACTGTGCCAAGGGCTGTGCTGTGCTGGGCCGTGCTGAACTGCAATGTGCCATGTCGCGATTGTGCTCTCTATGTATATATATAGCGTTGTGGATCGAGTCCTTCCTGGCATCCAAGTCCTGACCGAACTGATCTGGATCTTAAGCTCGAGCTGCCTGAGCAGATGGTAGCTGCCCCAGAACTAATCGACAGAGGAGACATGCCAGGAGGACGCGCCGCGGAACGTCCCAAGGGACGCGCCAGGCGACGTGCCAGGGGACGTGCCCTGGGCACGCACCGCGGGACGTGCCAAGGAGACGCGCTATGGAACGTGCCAATGGACGTGCCAGGGGAGGCGCCGCGCGACGTGCCAGGGGGACTCGCCACGGGATGCGCCACGGAACGTGCCAAGGTGCAAGGTTGAGTGTATCGATATTGATGTACTGTGCTGTGCTGGGCCATGCTGAACTGCGATGTGCCATGTCGCGAGTGTGTTATATATATATGTATATATATATATGTGTGTATATATACATATATATATATCGCGTTGTGGAACGAGTCCTTCCTGGCATCCGAGTCCTGACCGAACTGATCTGGACATTAAGCTTGAGCTGCCTGAGCAGATGGTAGCTGCCCCAGAACTAATCGACAGAGGAGACATGCCAGGAGGACGCGCCGCGGAACGTCCCAAGGGACGCGTCAGGTGACGTGCCTGGGGACGTGCCCTAGGCACGCACCGCGGGACGTGCCAAGGGGACGCGCTATGGAACGTGCCAATGGACGTGCACCGCGCGACGTGCCAGGGGGACTCGCCACGAGACGCTCCGCGGAACGTGCCAGGCAACATGCCAAACTGCATTGCTAAGGGTATCGATATTGATGTACCGTGCCGAGGGCTGTGCTGTGCCTGGGCGACCTGGACACGTGAAAACACGCGTTTCGCTCAACACGCTCTCAGCACATCCTCATGCTAGACATCCGCCTGGGCAACCTGGACACGTCCAAAACAAGCGTCTCGATCGAGACTTCCTCGACACATCCTCATGCTAGACATCCGTCTGGGCGACCTGGACAAGTGAAAACAAGCCTCTGGTTCGAGACATCCTCAACAAATCCTCATGCTAGATATCTGTCTGGGCAACCTGGAGGCGTGACACCAAGCGTCTCGCTCGAGACATCCTCAAGACCAGGGCACGGAAAACAAGCATTTCACTTGAGAGATCCTCTGAATTCTAGTCCCCAGGAGAGGACAATCTATAACACAAAACCAGCGTTTCGCTCGAGACATCCTCAATAAATTATGAAAGAAAACATGCGTTTTGCTCGAGACATCCTCAAACTTTAATTCGCTGGCCCTACGCGACCTCGTCATTTATCGCAAAAGAAATTCGCCGGCCCTACAGCCGTCAGATCCGGGGGCAAACCCCTAAAAGAGAACCCTGGGCCTATGCCCTTTATGGAAATCGACGGCGCATATAAGATGGCCCCTAAAAAGGACCTCGAAGGCTCCCAGACGACCCTCTATGAGGGCCTCAGGACACTTCAAAGACAAGGGCTCCATGAGACCCCCAGAACCTTCCACGGGGGCTCCAAAAAAGGGTTCCAACAGGACCCACAAACACCTCCAGAACACCTTCGAAGACTTCAAGATAGCTCCAGGAGTTATCGTGTTCATTGTCCTCCTCCTCCTCCTCCTCCGCTCCCCCTCCTTCTCTTTCTTTTCCTCGTCATTGTTTTCCTCGTCATCGACAGCGTCATTCGTTGTCGTGTTTACTCTTCTTCTGAGGTGTTCACAACACGCAAGCCAATCGCGAATGGCCGCGACGTCAACTCTTGCCAAAGATCAAGGAACGCTGCGCCCGCCCGAAAAACGCTGGAACGCTGGGCAAGTCCCTGGCACCCGCATTTTCCGCTTACCGCGCAACACCAACCTACGCGAGGGCGACGAGCGCCGGGAGAAAACATGATCGACCCACGAACCCGGAAAGGAATATAGAACTGTAACACATGGCAGCGTTTTCAAAGACACCTGATTGGGTGACGGGCAAATGCAATGCTGAGTGTATCGATCTCGATGTACCCTGCCGAGGGCTGTGCTGTGCTGCACCGTGCTGAATTGCGATGTGCCATGCCGCGATTGTGCTCTATAGCCTCATGGATCGAGTCCTCCTTTGCATCCGAGTCCTGACCGAACTGATCTCGATCTTAAGCTCGAGCTGCCTGAACACATAGTAGCTGCCCCAGAGCTGATAGACAAGGGAGCATGTCAGGAGGACGCGCCGCGAAACGTCCCAAGGGATGCGCCAGGCGACGTGCCAGGGGATGCCATGGGGTCGCACCGCGGGACGTGCCAAAGGGACGCGCTACGGAACGTGCCAATGGATGTGCCACGGGATGTGCCAGGGGACGCGCCACGCGACATGCCAGGGAGACTCGCCAAGGGACGAGCCACGGAACGTGCCACGGAACGTGCCAAGTTGCAATGCTGAGTGTATCGATCTTGATGTACCGTGCCGAAATCTGTGCTGTGCTGCGCCGTGCTGAATTGCGATGTGCCATGCCGCGATTGTGCTCTATAGCCTAGTGGATCGAGTCCTCCTTTGCATCCGAGTCCTGACGATGGGGACGCACCGCGGGACGTGCCAAGGGGACGCGCTACGGAACGTGCTGGGGACAAGCGTCTCGCTCGAGACATCCTGCCAACATCCTCAGAATTCCTGCGCGCGGGACGCGGCACGCGCGAGACATCCTCGGAATTCTTGCGAGCGGGACGTGAAAACAAGCATTTCGCCTGAGACACCCTCTGAATTCTGGACCCCCACGAGGCCCCCCACGAGGCCCCTGCTCGAGACATCCCCAAATTTTGCAAAACCAGCGTTTCGCTCGAAACGTCTTCAACAAATTATGAAAGACAAGCATTTCGCTCGAGACATCCTGCCAAAATTCGAGGAAATCCTAGCAAAATTACTCCGACGGAAGAACCCCACATAAGAATCCTCTGGGCGAATCTGGAAAAAGCCATCACCGTCGTCCTCGTGGTTGGTGAGGCGTCCTGGCTGTCTCTTCTGCGTATATTTCCACTCGCCTTGGCGCGGGCCCCCCTTCCACTCCTTACGTTGTGCCCATCCTCGCCCCCCTGCTTGTTCCGCGCCCCGCCACCTCCCCCCCTTCCTGTTGCATGAACGCGCATGTCGATGTTCCTCGGCGCCGTCGCCGCCACGGCCAGCACAGGCGCGTTCTCTACTGGTCACGTCGCGCAGCCGTTGGGACAACCCCGCGGGCCAGGCTGTCGGGACAACCCCGCGAGCCAGCGCAAGACCAAGCCGTTGGGACAACCCCGCGGGCTTCGAGCGAGGCGCAGCCGCGCTCAGGCGGAAGGCAGCACGAAGCCCAGCTCTGCCGCGAGCTGCTTCGCCTCCGCCCTGGACAAAACCGCTCTCTTGTCGAACTCCAGGAGCGCCTTCCGCAGGGACGCCGGCGGCCCGCACTCCAGGAACTCTCGCGGCGGCGGCCGCAGGATCAGCATGTTCCGCATGCACGTGGCGCGGGAGAACATGACGTAGAGGTGCAGCCCCACTGCTCGTCCGACATGCCCGTGCGGCCAGCGTCCTCGTCTCTCGCGCAGTCGATGGTGACGCCCTTGCGCAGCGTCTGGCCCTGCGACAGCGTGGAGGTCAGGTAGGACGCGTGCGTCAGGGTGAACCCCGAGCGGCGCACGCTGTGCGCCCCCGAGCTCTGCCATGTGAGCTCCCTTTCGGTGGGCCTGAACATCAGCAAGCTCCGCGCCCGCGCCTCGGCCTGGCCGTCGTCGTCGGCGCCTTCGGCGCCCTGTCGCAGCACCTTGG